TCACTCTGGCTCCAAAACACCTTCCCTCTCTTCTTCCTTTGCAACACTTGAAATACCACATTCAGGTCACACCTTGTCATAACAGGAGAGAAGTACTTAGCCCCAATACATCCGTGTGAAATTAGAGACAAGTGAACGTAAATTTCCCTTTGCCTGAGCCATAGGCGCACACCCTCATCGCAAGGACAAGGCTGGCGAGATGGCTGCTGCACATGGCAGCCCAAACCCTCCGTTTGGAGACTGACTCTCAGTGCTCGTGCTCATACACAGCAATTCATTTGCCTTGTGAATTGCAAGGAGTTAATTTATTCCAAAATTACAATTCAGAATGTCTCATTTAGCCAAAAACCTCTATCATTAAAAAGAGAATCATATCGATATACAAGGTACATGTAAAAATATCTTAATCTTTGCTGCCATCAGTCCTGATACTATCCCAATTAATAACCAAATTGATGTCAACATCAGTACCCAATCCACCTCAGGGAGAAGGAATGATGTTTCCTTCCAGCCATGCACCAAGTCTCATCCAGCAAGAGAGCGAGCTGTATCCGTTTTCCCGAGGCCAGCCCCATGCTGTCCATCTCCCACCTCAGCAATGCGGGAGCAGCAATAGGAAGCGGCTGTGTTTTGGATCAGCCTCCCACGCGCAGCAGAGCAGCTCCTGGGTTGTTCAATCCTACGCTCAGTGCAATGGCTGGGGATGGTCCATTTGACGGAGGGGGGCCAGGGCGTTGAGAGACCCAGCCGCGCATCCAGCACGCTTCCCCATCCCCTGGCTTCAAAGCATCGAACCAGCTGCTCTCGTGCCCTCCAGAAGCCCCTAACAGGAGGGGAGGAGGGGTAAAGGGGTGTCAAATGGCTGCTGCATTGCATTCTCTGATGCATCTCCCTATTTCCCCAAACAGAAAAAAGCTGTCCTCTAAACGATGCTTTCAGTCAAGCAGCTGACCAAAAATAAAAGTACAAACAAAACTTAATGGAGCACGAAGCCTCCTATGACAAGGAAAATTCCCGCTCCAGTTCTGATCTCTGTTTACAACGTTGAAAGTGGGTCAAACTGGTCTGTGATGGAGGAATCTGTTTGGAAAATTATCTCTGTGAGGAAAAGCATCTAAGCGGCAGACAATTGCACTGCAATGCTTCCAGGGGGATCCTTTCCCCTGCCATCAAAGTAATTCAATTTTATCACACATGGTTTAAATCCTGTAACTTGAAATTACAGCTTTTTATTCAAATTACCTGAATTCAGCAATTCCCTATCTTTTAGAGCAGATCAACAAACCAGGGTGTTTCAGCACAGACCTCTCTGCTTTAAAAAGCTAAGACATGGCTGGGTTTGGACAGGGTGGGGGAAGCTGTTGTGGTTTTTGTTGATTTTACGATTTTTGGGATTTTTTCATAATTACTCTCATTTTTGTTCATTTTCAGTCTTCAGGATAAGGTTATTGAGCAGTACCATCACACTGCCTAAACCAACTGTTTTGTTTTACCCTGTCATGGTCTCTCTGAAAATGCAACAAAATGATTAGGACACTAAATGGGAGCCCGAAAATAAGTGACAGTCCGTAATAACACTACTTTTCACGGTATTTTCATTCAGACATCATGAAATCTGGTGAATTTAATATCTGTCCTTTGCCGATGTTCAAGATAGAAGATGACTGTAATGTAAACAAATTCAGCCAAAACTTCCTGGCAAGAAGCTCTGTAGATTATTCTGTGCACAGACCGTACATAAATACACAGCAATCTAAAGAAAGAACATACTAACCAGGCTTGAAACCCACTAATTTGTTTTTGTTGACTCAAAAAAATTCTGTTCTTTGACCTTCAAATACTTGATTCCTTTTATGGTCACACAATATTTTATTAAAAATCTTCTACTAATCACTCTCGGGGTACCCAGAGGCTTTAGAAAGCACAAAATATCAAAAAATGTATGACTGCATTCCTGCATATATTGAATCATCTTTCTAAACTGTTTTTGAAAGAAAGAAATGCATTTATAGCATCTTCTAGAAAACATCTTGAAAAACCCCCAAACTTATAAACATTCCTTCATATTTATAATTTGTATTTTTTTAATGTTCTCTTTGGGTTTAGTTACTATTTTGTATTTACAGAAAAATGAGCTCTGTGAGTCTTCAAAGTGTCTGCTAATGTCAGATATTTATAGAAAGTTATGATCTCAAATGATTTTAAGAACTGAATCAGTCTACATCAAGACAAACTTTGAATCTTTTAGACTTCAAAAATGTCCAGTTTGAACGGGAGTCTTTCAGGGCAAATAAGGAATAAAAGGGTTCATATTTTAAATGCACTCAGTATAAAAAAAGTAACATAATGAACAGTAGTAGCAAAAAAGACTTGGAAAAAATAACATGATACAGGAAAAGATGTAACTTTTATATGGTTTTATTAGCAAACAAAAAAAAATAAAGTATCATGGAAATAGCTCAGACTTATAATGGTAGGTTAGAGCACGAAAGATATATACTGGTATATACTATGTAGATATATATATACACTAGTATATACTGAGTCTACAGAAAAAGAATATTCACAAAGTTAGAAGGAAAAGTAAGTCTGTGAGTCTCTCAGATGCATCTGTGAATTAGAAAGTGCAATGTGAATGGCCCAAAAAATACATACAGCTTCCCTCGCAAAAACAAAGATCCTCTGAAAAAAAAAATTAAGAAGGATTATTTCTCCCAGACTTACAACGAAGTCAAAGCCAGAGGAGACACACTGGGTCAGCAGGGACCTCCAGGGCAGCTGCCTGTCCCAGCACCCTGCTCAATGCGGGACAAGCTCAGGGAGGTGGGAGGCTGCAAGGCGCCAGCATTCCTCCTGTTCTGGCTTCCATCCCAGCCTGCACACCACCCGCTGCAAACCCCGTGCTGCCGCGCCATGAGGTCCATGATAAGTCCCACTGACAGCTCCTTGCATGCCAGGCTGGTGTCGGGGTTGGCTGTGGGGAGCTGTGCCCCTCTGCAAACCCTCCTTTGACTGAGGGTGTTACGAAGGGACCCCCGCCCGAACATGAGAGGTGTTCCCCCCTCTGAGACAAAAAGAGAGCCTTTCATTCACTAACTGAGCTGTCCCTAATTACATTGTACACAGAAAAGCATGTTAAGTGGGAAACACTGTTCTAACACTTATTTCTGTTGTGCTTTTTTGTTTATTTTGTTGGTCAGTAGAACCTGTTTCCCAAACTGAGTTCAGGACCCCATTTTACTAGGCTTGACATCTACAGAAGGGGAAAGACCTTCTCTGCCCCAAAGTTCAGAGCCCAAAGTCCAAGAGGTACTCAGAGAGTGTGCCTGGAGCAGCACAGTAGGACAGGCTGCCAAAACCCTCCTTGGGCTTGCAGGCAAAAGAATCTGGGGGCAAGGAAGCATGGGCAGAGCCTGCCAAAGCCAGTGGATAGCCAGAGGGTCCCTGCCCTCAGCCCCACATGTCACATGTATCACTGCGGATCGCAGAGCAGAGCAGAATGTTTACTCTGGAGCCACAGTTTGCAGCCCAGTGTACTGGACAGCAGTTTGCACTTTATGTACCACCTCGGCAAAGCCATGGCACTTTGGAAGCAGGCACATCCTCTTCAGCTCTACTGCCCGCACAGCCACTTTGGGAGAAATGATGGCAGGGAAAAGTTGGCAGCGGCGGCAGCAGTGGCTTCAGCTGTCCCGACTAGCTCTGCTGGCCGCCATGGTGGCTCACACTGCCACTGACACATTGCCTTCATCTCATCACCTCCATCACCTGCCAAGAACACTGCTGGCTCCCATGGGGTTTCCATATCCCCATGTCATGTCCTAATTTGCTTGCAAATTCAGGGGGGCAGGAATGAGCTACTACATCCTGTAGAACGGGATCCAGTCCAGAGCCAGGACCTTCACACTACAGTGCAACACAAAACAGTAACAACTCCAGTTGGTGGCAAACTGAAGAACCAAAGGGAGACAGCACAGTCCAGCGTCATACTGAGCTCAAGGCACTGGTTTCAACTTTGTGGGTCTGTGGGCTACTTGAAATAGAGCCACAAAAGGTAATAAAAGCCCATTGTCAGCAGGCTCCAATGAGTGGAGTGCTTTGCCAACTGCAAAAGGTGAAAAATATGGTGTTACTTTCAAGCAAGGAGTTATCCCATCAGCATAGTAGATGACCTTCATCAATCTTCTCCTCATCACCTCGGATTGGCTCACAAGGAAAGTTGTGAGCTCACAAGGAAAGTTGTGTCAATATGTGGGTCTCTAGGGGCAGTACGTTATTGAACATCAGGTGAGACAACTGCACTGTCCCAAGTCTTGAGGCACAAATCAAAACCCTCCCCTCTAGCCAAGCTATGACGGGAATTACGTACGCACACAGAACACATAAAAGTTACCTGACAGAGTACGTTTTCTTCAAACACAACGCAGAATAGAGCTGTAATGCATTTTTTCAACACGAAAAAAAAAGAGGAGATTTTTTCCACGGGCTACCAAACAGTAAAAGACCCAAACTACACTAAAACAGCCTTCAAGAAAACTAAGCATCAAACGCTAAAATGTCCTTCAGAGGCTGTAAGGGATGAGCTGAATCACCTCCCAAGCGAGGTGAGGCACCGGCTATTCCAGCAGTTGCGTAGACAAGTTTACAGCCGGCTCCTGGCACGCCAGAAAGGGTCCACAACCCACTCCCCAAAATAAATGCATCTCCCGTGCACACCCAGGACTTCGGTTTGGGGAGGAGAGCGGTTTTTTCTGTAAAACACTTGCAGAACCGTGGCCCTCAAGAGGAAAGCCCCTCCAGCCAAGCTGCCCGCGGCCGCTCGTCGCGTTCCCCCCGTGCCTTTCGACGGGGACCGACCGCTCCGCCCCGCCGCGCCCCTCGCCCCCCTCCGTGGGGCTGGGGGGTCCCCCCTCCCGCGGGGGGCGGCGGCCGGGGCCGGGCCGGGGGCGGCGGGCCCGGCCGCACAAAGGGCGGGGAGGCGGGGGGCGCCGGGCACTTACTTTGTCTATGGTGCCCGGGAGCAGGCGGTCGAGCAGGCGGCAGAGGACCACGCCGTCCTTCAGGGAGGACTGGAGGAAGCCCTCGGGGTCGGAGATGGTCTTTTTGGGTGACTCCAGCACGCCCAAGGCGATCAGCCACGTAACGGTCTGCTCCGCCGAATTCATGGCGATGGCGGCGGCGGGGCGGGGGTCGCGGCGCCCCGCGCCTCGCGTGGGTTTTGTGTCTCCCCGGGCGGGGGCTTCAGGCGGAGGCCGGCGCCGCCCCCATGTGAATGCAGATGACGACGCCCCGGCCCCGCCGCTACAGACACATGCAGCTGCAGTGCCGCCTCCTCCCCGCCCCCCCGCCGCCGCCGCCGCCGCCGCCGCCGCCCCATGACATCACTGGCAGCGGCGGCGGGCGGGGGCAGCGCCCGCGGAGACCCGCGCCCCGCTCCGCGTCCGCACCGCACCGCGCCCCGGGCGCGGGTACGGCCGCCCCCTGGTGGGCTCGCGGTGCCTCCGCGGGCGCGCAGCGGGGCGCGGGGCGGGCGCCGGCGGGCACTGGGAGCGGTGGAGAAAAGTTGCGGGATCCCCCGGCCCCTCGTTTCCTCCTCGGACAGCGCCGTCGCGCTGGGAACAAACCCCCGCAAGCCTTTAGCTCCAGGCTCGGGGCCACTGATTTCGAACCATCTACCTCTGGGAGCACCAGCAGAGGGTCCCGGCCCGACTGATCGTATTAAGTCGATTTTTGCCTTTGCCCGTCGTTGCCCTGCGCAAGGAAACCCGTTAGGGAGCCTGGCCCAGTGGCCGACTCGCGGGCTCGCCCCGGTGAGCGCCGTCCCCGCCGTGCGCCTCCTGGGATGCTCCATCCCCAGCGCGCCTCCCGCCAGCGTCCGCCCGGCGGTCTGCGGCACCGGCTGGGAAGCCAACGTAAATACCCATAAGGACTGTGAAGGCTAACCTGAAATCGGGCGGTGAAAGCATTCCCGTGCTTTTTATTCTGGCAAAACCCATTCCTCAAGGCTTTGCTTGGACAGGACTCTACGAGCAATCAGTATTTTTCTGTTAAGATCTGGCATGGGCTCCCCAGGGCCCCTCTGTTGCCATTAGCCTGGAGACGTGATGTCACCACAGCCCATGCTCTACCCCCTTCCCCTCACACTCCACCTGACCCCATCAAGGGACAAAACTGCCTTCAAGGCAGTGTTAGAAGGGATATTGCCGACCCCAAGCTCATCTCCGTGGTTCTGTTTCCATCCTGACTTGCCACATTTGCCACAATCACAGCCCCTGAGCAGCATCTCTGGTAAGTTTTTCTGACCTGGAGTCTCCTCCCAAACCACAGACCAGCCCAGAAAAACAGAAGTGCATTTGGACTGGAGACAAGATAATCTAATTCTAACATTGTCTCCTTCTGATCCATAATAGGTGCAGATTTTCTTAAACTCTGATGCCTGAGGTGTGATACCACTTCCAAAATTTGTCTTTCCTTCTGCCCCTTGTTTAGTCCAGGTGACAGCACCGGAATGGCCTCCACCAGTGTTGATGCCCACCCAAACTCGAGCAGGGTTGGATACCACAAGCTCAGCGCACACAGCAACGGTCAGAAAGCATTTATTACCTCAGCATCCCCAGTGGGGATTTCCCAATAGTTTTCCGAGTGAGGTAAGCAGCAAGTGGGGAGATCCTTGGCACCACTGTGCCACCACTGTCACCATGACCCATGGCAGAGAAAAATGGACATGAGTTTGTGAAGCTTTTTATGTGAGAGACCGCATGAGGAGTAAATGTGATATAGTCATCACATGAATAATGTGAAAAGCACACAGCTAATTACAGTAGAGAGCATGATACATGACACATTTTGGGAAAATCCAGCCAAAGGAAGCAACATAAGTAACAATATATTACAATGCAGAACAGTGATCTTAACAAAGCATAAAGGATTTCATTATAAGCAATATCTGAGTTATTGCTGTATTGACCTTCATCACTTATCTCCTCACCATTCTTCTGCACTTAACCATACACCTTTCCATATATATTTTGAGCAAAAGCTTCCTACCCAATAGTTGCCTAGCTATGAAGAACACGAACATGGCAATTCTTTGCTATCAGAAAGCTGTGTAGATGGCCTGCCTGAAGACCTTTGAAAGAAGCTTACCACAGGTAGGGGAACCATTTCCAAATATTTAAAGGAAAAAAATGGAAGTGCATAAAAGCTTTAGGAGCATGCCACTCCCTTCCTAGCTTTCTTCCTTGTCAGACTTTCCCCTACAAGGTATTTACTGCAAACCACCAGAACTCTCTGCATAGCTCCCTTGTTTTATCGTTTCCTCCTGTGTACCCCAGTACTGTCCATTTATTCATACTGCAAGCTTGTAGGACAGACAGATACTTTGCATCTGCACCATCCATCAAGTGGAACCCACACCATGGTGGAAGTTCTGAAGTAGCATAAACAATGAAAGATATAATTATTGGCAATCTGCACTCCTTCTTCTTCTTTGTTTCACAATTAAAGATGTTCTGATTCTCTTCTGTCCCGACCTTGGTCCCACTTTTGCTTCTAAATCATAAACCGGTGACATCTTTATTCAAGCATCCATTTTGACAGTGTTTAAGTAATCTAAACTCTTTCTGAAGGCATCAAGAGGGATGATTTTAACCTCCTTTTTCTGCAAAACATTTTAAATATATGCAAAGCTGAAAAAGTAATTTTGGTAATGACACTCATAAACAAAGGATAGATATGGAGTATGCATGTAGGTTCAGGTCACTTCCAGGTCTTAAATCTCTTTACACAAGCAATGAGATTTTTACATTTTGGGGTGGGGTTTTTTGGTTTAGTAATATCTGGATCCTTTTCTGAACAAGAGAGAAAGCAGAGATCTAGTAGATTTAACAGCACAAGATTTTCTGTGAATAAAGATTAAGCAGTTGACAATTTATTTGCGCTTTTGCAAGTGCTTGTCATATTCTTATGAGAAGTTACTAAGGAAACCAGGTAGGCACAAGGTAGAAGATAAATTTCTGCCATGGATTAGCAAGTGGTTGAAAGACAAGGCAGCAAAAGGCAAAGCAGCTGGAATAAATTGCCAGTTTTCAATTTGACCAAAAAGTTACCAGTAGAGATATGTCCTCTATTCTGCGCTGTGAATTAACTGAAAGTCATAAAAAGACAATTATACTTCTGTGCGTATTATTTAGTCTTCTAGCCTCTCCCCTTGAAGGAGGGAGAGCAGGAGAAGAAGGAAAGAACAGGTAGAGAAAGCTACCACTTCTTTTGGACTTTCATTTGCCATTTTTCATTTTCAGCTGTTAATACCTTGTCTGCCTGCCCCCAGGGCAGCAATGAGATGCTTTGGCCAGATGCACAACTCTCTGTTCTCCCTGTGCCAAACCAAAGTCAGGATTTCAATGGGAGGCAACCAATTAACTATCAGTCCAGCTTGAACAGAAATTGCCTTGACAGTCTATAATTAGCTATATAAGGGTCATAGTGGATCAATTGCTGTGACGGGCTTCCCATGCTATATGTAATTATCTCTGTAGTTTTAGTCTAGGGAGGTTTACATCTCTCTGTAGTAAAAATCTCACCCCAACAAAGCAGGCTTCTGTGCTAAACTCAGAGATGTATTTCCATGTGTAGTTAAATGACTTCAAGGGGAGCTGGTCTTTTGCAGTTCCTGAAACCAGCTATCACAAGTTCAGTATCACCAGCTCTCTTTGCTAAAACCCATATACCAAAGATTGTGTTGGTGAACTCGGGAAAGCAGATCAATAGTACTGGCACAGGTGTCAATGGAGAGAAAAAACACAACAGAGAACAAACTATTTCATTATCTTCCAAGCTGCAAAGTATTTTATTAGGCCAATGCCAAGTTTCTGATCCTGAGAGGCCTGTCAATCAAGCATAAATAAATGCATACCATACAGGGTGCAGCTAAAGTGCTGACACAGAAACACAAATATGGGACTCTCAGAGCAGGTGTTCAACCAACGGTGACAGCAGCATGTTGCTCAGGGCTGCAGTGCTTGACTCCAGGGCAGTGTGATGGGTGGCCAAGCAAGCTTGGTCTCTCAAACAGCGATCAGAGTATTCAGTGTGCTGAATGCACCAATGTCCAAGCCATCCCTAAAAAGAAAAAAAAGCAAAGAAAAAGGTGCTTCTAAACCTCCTTCTGTAGTGGAGGCTGCGTGTACCTGTTGTGGGATTTAAGGGAAAAAGCTTTTAGCTGGGAGAGAGATGCCCCAGAGCTCAGCTCCCTGATCTATTTCCCCTGATCACAGATCTCAAATCTCTCAAGCCTCTAGTTCACTTGCTCTACTGCCTCCTTTGCAAGTGCCTTTAAGGTCTATTCAAAAGCAGAAATACTGTCACCACGTCTATTTTAAATCAATGCAGCCTGTTGACACCACACTCTGATTGAGCTCAGAGTCCAGGCTGCTGCTATCTGAGTCCTAGCAGTCAAAATTTTTGTTAATGTCTCCTTGATTTGATAAGGCAACTAAGACAATTCTGTGTTACAAGCTTTATTGCAGTCACCAGTGCTTTTGTAGGTTTTGCCCTGGCTATGATCTTTAGATGGAAATATAAAGAGAGTCCTCTGGCAAATCCGCAGTAGCCCAAAATGTAGCTCTGCTTCTGTCCTCCCAAGAGCATCAATTCAAGAGCTATGCTGCCTTTGTCTTCTAAGTGCAGTTCAGGATAATGGCATTGATCCGCTACATTCTTTATACTTTCACTAACCAATAATAAGTGTCTCTGCTTTAGGCAGAGATGAATATAATACAAAAGTCCTTGCCACAAAGGGCTTAATCTAAACCACAGATGAGAGAAGATGAAGGATAGACTTGAGAAAGGAAGAAATGAAGCAGGACAATAAGCAGCAGCGCAGTCACACATAGGCTCTCTTAATAGAAGGACGTCTATTTTAATTGCCATTTCAAAAGTTTTATTCACACTTAACAAGAAATGAGAAAGAAATGAAAGACAAGAATTGAACGGCAAGAAACCAAAATGGACAAAATGGATGAAAATGTTTTGAATTTAAACAAACAAAAAAAAGGAGCTGAGATTTTCACATTTTTTTAAACACATGCATACTCAATGAACAGTATTTGCCAAATTTTGCCCTATATTTTCTTAGCATAAGATGGAGTAAGTGCTTTTTTAACAT